ACTACTCTAAAGGAGTTTGAGGCCCATAGTGATGGGAAGAAGGCAAAGAAGAGGTCGCGTGTTGATAGGAGCACTCAGTCTCTAAGGCGCTGTGGCACATGTAGCAAGACAGGGCACAACGCGCGAACATGCAGTAAAGATACACAGAGTACTACAGACTAGTTTAGTATACTGTGTAGTATAATATATTATAGTTGTGTGCTGTAATGTTGCAAAGTAGGTGCAGTATTGGTGTGGTCTTGGCAAAAGTGGCCAGCTCGCTTGGGTGGCCAGCTCGCTTGTGGAGTACGTTAGTTAAATTATTTATTTATTATTATATTATAACGTATTCCACCACCCAACAGCTTAAACCACCCAACAGCTCAAAATGTCTTGGCACAACTAACACTAGTTACAAATTTCCATTTTCATCGCTATTATACAAGGAGCCTGCATACGCTGTACTAACCTCTAATTCAGAAGTCTCCTCTACATCCTTTTTACACGTTCGCGCGTTGTGCCCAGTCTTGCCGCAGTTCCCACAGCGCTGTAAAGCTGGTTGGGCTCTCTCTTGATCACCACCACGACGAGCCTTCTTCGACCGCTCAGCGGCTATAGAGGCCTCTGCGGCCACCTGGGCTGCTGCCTCACTATACTCCATTGTGCCGCCATGCTGGATCCGCTTCCTTTTGCGCGATTTCCTTTTGGTCATCACTGCTAATTGCTCTTCAAGCTCAGTAATCCGGGCTGCTTGAAGCGCGTTCTGATGCAGCATAAGCTCGCCGCCTCTAATAAGCTGAGAGAAGCCTGCCTGCACAGTAATAGGAGAACGAGTAAAGGACTCGCGTACAAGCTTTAATTGCAATCTAAACTCATGTGTATTGCTTAGAGTCTTTGACTGCCACAGCGTCTCTAGGAGGAGGGGTTCTGGCGGGGTACGCAGCTGCACTTTAAGGCGATCTAATACAACCTGCGCGTTAAGAGGGACAAGTCCTAATGCCTTAAAGGCCTTGCAATAGATTGCCTCTATAAACACGTTGCAAAACGCGTCTTTAAAGGCTAGTAGGAAGCCTTCTTTGTTAATGTGGAAGACGCGCTTGCGTGCTAAGTCTTATACGCGCTGAGAGTACTTGCGCTTTAATAGTGAGAAGCAGACCACATCAAGCAGCTAGAGGATGTGCAACAAGTGAGGTGGCATGCAGAGGGTGAGGATCTTATGTTTAAGGCAGTAGTCCTTGAAATCCTAGTTAAGGTGGCTCTCATGGCTGTCTAAAATAAGCAGCCTGTACGCCCCTACCTGGCCCGCCTTTGTATGCGTGTTAAAGTGCTTTAACTACTCTAGACTAAGCGCATTGTTTGTCTAGCTGTTCTGAGAGACTGAGAGCTTCTAATTGCGCAGTATATCTGCCTCCTTGTACTAGGTAGAGATGTGAACGCGTCCTTTGTAGATAATAAAAGGTAGGGTACAAGATCTAGCAGCGCAGACGCTCTGGATGACTGTTACCTACTCGTAATTACCTGGCTAAACGAGCTCAGGCTAAGTACGCCTCTCTGCGCCTGTAACAACCTTTATTAAGCTAATAACACCTATCTAGAAGCTAGTCTTGTTAAAGTTGTGCACGTTGTAGTCGTGTACGCCGTACTTGGCTCTAGTGTCCTCTACCAGCTTAAACCACGCGCCAATTGTCTCTGGATCCTCCTGCAGTATCCTCTGCCTATCTTTAGCTCGATTGAAGGCCATCTTAAGCTCAGCTGAGCGCGTTACAAAGCGCTCAGCCCAGTGCTTGCCAACCAGCTGCCCACCGCGTACACCCAACACTTTATCAGCCATATCTGCTACCTCGCACAGCTGGGGCGCGAATCCTTGCGAATCTAGGTTAAGGATATATTGGACGATTGTTTGCTCTTCTGTAAGCGTAAGTTTGCGGCTGTTAGGTGCTTATTTAAGGATAAATAGGGCTCCTCTAACGCGTGTAGAGAGAATGTGTTGTTTAACATTAAAAGCGCGCACAGCTGCTCTCTAGCTTTTAAATTATTTTAAATAAAGAGCTTTAAGGGCAAGGTTAACTCTACCTTTGTGTTCACATAGTAACGTGTTATGTGGTTGAGGCATGTTGCAACAAAGAGGGTGTTTGTTGTGCCAAGACATTTTGAGCTGTTGGGTGGTTTGAGCTGTTGGGTGGTGGAATACGTTATTATAATAACATGTTTTACAAGCGAGCGGGCCATACAAGCGAGCGGGCCACCCCACTAACTTTGCGCAACGTGTATACTTCAATCAACCATGGCCCCCTCCCACCACGGCTAAAACAGCTCTCATGAGGCTGATGTAAACCTCGCAATCTTAGCTCTTAATTAACGCCAAATATCAACTAAGAGATCTGCTGCCTATACGTACGGAGTCTCTCAAACTACCCTCCAACGCCGACGCGCTGGGACGCGCGCCTAACGCGATTGCCAGCCCAACTCAAAGAAGCTCACCAAGCTAGAGGAGCAGGTGATTATCAGACATATACTCGACTTGGATACACGTGGATTTGCGCCTACGTACGATGCTGTACGTGATATGGCTGATAAGCTGCTGGCTGCGCGCGGCGCTGGTCAGGTAGGCGTCCACTGGCCGCGCAACTTTGTCAAGCGTACAGACAGTCTCACGACGCGTTTCAATTGAGCGTACGATA